GCTGCATGGCATGGAACGACATAAATGGTAAATTTAAATCAACAAAATAGTTTTGACAGCAGTGTTCTCCCCAGAATGTTTTGAAAGAAGCATGGTATTTCAATATTTCTATTAAAGCAGCACTCTATGTAAAATCAAAGCAACATGGTAACTTAACATTTATTATGAATATATAGCAGAGAAGATCTAGGGTAGCAGCATGGCAAAAAGTATAGGAGCATGGTGCAACGCTGCAAAAAACAGTCTGGGGAGAACACTGGACAGCCTTTGGTTATTAGTTTTTATTCTTCTCATGATCACTGCATTGTAATGGCTGCAAATTGACAACATAATCACTTGATGCAAAATTTTACCTAATAATCATTTAAAAAAAATATCAGTCTAGCTTTTAACTTAAAGTTGTATCATTCTCACACGTTTTATTTTTTTTACAAACAATTTGTCATATCATGGTTTTTTTTACCTTTTAGAATGCTTTGGGTACGCGCCGTCTGGGAGGAAGAAGGGAGGGAAGAGGAAGGGACTGTTCCAAGTAATTGGATCAGAGATGAGACAGAATATTGGCCAAATGTCACCAATGTGCTGAGAGCCATGACCCCAGGAAAGGTCCCAAATGCCTCATGGCAAATGTTCCCCCTTATAAAGGAGAAATTAAGATCAGGTACAGTATTTATCACATCTTTTTTTCATTCTGGTGATGTTTTTTTATCCGCAATTAATTACTATCTGAATTTCAATTTCGGTATGGTTATTTAATTTTTGGCTTTATCAAGCAACAGTAAATTGTCAGTAGTATATATGCTTTGCAGTGATGATGGAGTGTAACTAATTGTTGCTATTCAAATTACATATTCACTTGTTATGTTTATCTTACACAGAGAGCAGAGCCAAGTGTGAATCGTACGATCTCACTTCAGCTGTAGAGACAGAGGATGAGAAGGAGGAAAATGACCAACAAGTATCAAGAGAAAGAAAAAAGCGTGTTTTTAGTGACTTTTATACTGGTGAGCAAACAAACTTCTTTCTTTTTACTATATTATTATATGTTTGTCCCAAGTGACCTTTTTGTATTGATGGGCTGTTTGGCATATAATAATAATGATATGTTCGAGTGTATTAATATGTGTTGCAGAGTCTTGTTGATGTTAAATTGTTCCAAGAATAAATTGATGTTCGATATAATAATCACACATGATACAACTATGTTATTTTGAAAATTTGATAATAATAAATAAATAATAAACAAATTGAACTCATCAAACTTTCAACTCTTTCATTTATAAAACCATCTAGGTGAGGAAAGCGCAAACAAGGACAGTGAGATCGAGCCCAGTAGTAAAAAACCAACATCCTCCAAAAACGTATCCGGTATGTGTATAATACATTTGTAATGAAATTATAAAAAACCCACTCTTTTTCCATAGGAATGCAGCATTGTTTAGCGTGATTTATGTGTCCCAATGTAGTTTAGCAGGTAGTGGTATATGTATATATACTAGTAAGCCAAAGTACATGTACATAGACCAATTGCAGTTTTCATTTTGTAATTTATATTGATAACGCATGTATGTACACTATGGATATATATATATTTAAAGAAAGGTGGCAGCTACTATGAAGTCTTTATATATTATATTTCACTTTTTACAAACATAACATTAATTTGATCAATACAATTATTTTAAGACTGTTGAGAGGTCCAGCGTAGATTGCCCCTGTTGGCGGCAGGCATCAAACTCAATTACTCTCACAGAGCTTGGGTCAAAATGCTACACAAATATATGCCTGTGTCTCATATTTTATTCCTTGCAGCACTACACACTCTACCTGAACCACCATCAAAACTCAGGTCAAAGGCACCAAACCCCATCACTCCTCCAAGGCGTGAAACGTCCCCTAGAAGGAATGTAACGCTGTCTCCTCCAAGGTGTGCAACGTCGCCTTCTCGAACATGTACATTTATAACACCAGTTCCAAGGAGTGTAACGCCACCTCCGTTGCGCACACATGGGTTGACACTTGCATTAGGTATGTTAAATCTACTAATAGAAAATTATTTGGAGCTATCAAAATGATTTTGATATATCTTGTTTATGGCCAATATGGGTATCATAATCAATCTATATCTCTATATTATCTGTCTTCCGTCCATTGTGGAACAGTATTATGATGTTAGTTTTATTATGTGATCAAAAATGCTTTCTTTGCTGGTTCTACAAATATTAAAAAAAAAAAAAAAACATTTTGTTGTCATACTCTCTTTAGCATTGACAGTATTTGTATAATTTCATAATTATTACTTAAATATGGAACTTTTTTGTATAAATTTTCAATTTGTATTTCGATATCACATCAGGCTCGAGAGCTAACAACAGGATGGAGCCAAGAAGGAAATCTCCTACAGGATGGTCGGAAAGACTTGGTCACTCAAGCCCTGTTAGAGCATCCAGCCCCTCTCCTCTTCCTACATTAGCATCTCCAAGAAGGCACAGTGCCAAAAGAACAATCGAGCAGTCCTCATCCAGACATATACCAGAGGGCACTTCGGCATATCCAATGTCAACGGCAAGTAAGTAATGAACCCCAATCTCGGCCATGGCGGGTTTTGATGTGTTTTTTTTGCCCAGCTGATTGAAGTTATGTATAATAGACAATTAGAATGTAATTTTAATATATTTTATACATGCTGATGTTTCTTTTCATTGTTATTATGATGTTTGTTATAACAAATGATCTGGTGATTTTTAGCTCTTCTTATATAATGTACAGGAAGTATGTTGTGTCACTCGGTGAAAATATGTTGACATGTTGTGTCACTCGGTGAAAATATGTTGACATGTTGTGTCATTTGGTGAAAATATGTTGACGTGTTGTGTCACTCGGTGAAAATATGTTGACATGTTGTGTCACTCGGTGAAAATATGTTGACATGTTGTGTCATTTGGTGGAAGTGTTAAAAATGGCACATCTGATTTTTTTATAAGATTTGATAACTTTTCTTATATTGAATTGTGTTTGAAACCTTGATAATGTTCACGTTTATTTTACAAACACATATATTTACTCAGAAACTCAGAATTTTACTCCAATAAACTCCAATTAAATCTGATTTAAACTCAGAATATAAGTGCATATTAAATATATTTTAGTTTCATAAACTTGAAATGTAAATGGCGAATAGATAGGAAATAAAATATAACTAAACACGTTTTTGCATGCATTGTATTTTGCACAGCACACGAGGGATAACTTGGGGCAGGGGTGTTCTGATTTGTACAAGAACAAACTCTGTCAACTTCACACTTGCTTGGTATCTTAGTTGTTAGACTAACACATGACTGATAGGGGGCCTAGTCTCTGGATAGTGAAATTGAGCAGCTTAATTGTAGGGTAAATTAAGTAGAAATTTACTAGTATTGTTCTCTCTTACCAAACTGGAATGCCTATAGATTGATTCTCATCTATTTTCAAAACATTTTCATTGTTTGGTTATTTTCAGAATTTCAGAAGAAAGTTATGACCACGTTAGCAGACATCAGATTGGAACTGCGTGAGCAATGGGAAGGAAAAGAAATGGCCAAATCCGACCTTCAAACAATTCCCTTTCAGGCGCGAAACATCGAGGAATTACAGAGGATCGATGACACGTTGAAAAGTCCGGAAGACTGTTTGAAAATGGTAGGTTAAGGGCTGCAAATACGTTTATGTATTTCTATATATTTGAGAATTGTACATGTATATAATTGTGAAAGAAGTCAAATTTGCAAATTGGTGATATTTTTTAGGTGTTTGCAAGCTAATTTTGTATTGTCTTTATGTTGGACTAACAAATATTCTAACTTAAGATATTTTCATTTTTCTTCAGACTATGGCCCTTGCATGTGTTGGTGGAAGCAGCATCAATGAAAATGCCAGGAAAATCCTCCAGAAGTAAGTTTGAACATTTCAATATCTGTAATAGCTGTTAACCAAACCATGTAACATCATACAATTGTTATTTTTATGATTTACTAATGTATATTTATCAATTTATTTAGAAATAGAAATCAACACACTTTTGACAATTGCGTTGAAAATGTTAGCATCCAATTGAAAGCACGTATACCAAGGTACAAGTACAATATCATATGTATGATCACATAGATATATTCAAAAACATAATATTTCCTTTTGGTTGCATTTCAGGTTGATGACAAATGAAACTATGTCTGCCTACAGCATTAAAGGGAAGAAAGGTAAGCTAAGATTTCAGAATCTGAAATTGTTTAAAGTTGTGCTTGGTAAGACTCTAATGTTTTATACAATTCATATACCATTTATATTAATAAAATTTTAAGTGTCCGCTATATTCCTCCTTGTGACTCTTTTGGCAAAATGTACATATAAGTTTCAGAATGTATTGATATGTTTTAATATTGTAAAACAATTTATTCATGTTGTAAAATTTAACATATTTTATTAAGGTTTAATTCATTTAATTGCAGATGCTGTAGTCCGTACTATGCAATGTACAGAAACAACAGCAGAGACCGCCATTGTCTGTAGCCTTGAAGTATGCCCCAGATAGGAAAGGAGGGGGTGGAAGGAAGAAGGCTGATGGGGAGCTGTTACTGTCCTAATAAAAACATTGTCATGACACTGAAATCAATTATCTTTGTTGCTTGATTTAATCATCTTTATTACGTAAATTTATGCAACAGGAAATTTTGACTTAGGATAACCACGTCACAACAACGTTGTATAAACGTTACATAAACGTTGCATATACATTATATATACGTCATATTACAACGTCTTCACAACGTCGGAAAAGACGTCTAGAAAACTTTCACTGACAACCTTACCACAACCAAATCCCAACGTCAGCAACCGACCTTATGGCAACGTTGCTACAACGTCATGTGCCCACTGGGAATGTACATGTATGTAAATCATAAATCAGATTTTGTCCTCCATTATCTCTATCATATAACTATAACTATTTTTGTTTCATCTATTAGATTTTCTGCTCTTGGAATTCTTCATGATGTGAGGATGAACTGTGGTACTGCAGCACACAAAATAACTTGACTAGTCATGGCTGAGGGTGGAGGGAATCTTAATGAAGGGCTAGGTGGAGATACATGGGAACCTCCTTCTCGCTCCCAAGGATTCAACCAACACCCATCAACAAACACAGGTAGTTATACAGTACATTTTTCTGGTAAAGCCCCTGCACGCAAGGTCACATTTTTAGGTCACCTAAGACAAAGTCCCAAGTGATTTATTGCGATCACCTTTTGTCCGGTGTCGTGAGTCGTCCGTCGTGTATCGTCCGTCCGTAAACAATTTACATTTTCGACTCCTTCTCCCAAAACCCCTGAACCAATTTAAATGAAATTTTGCAGAAACCTTCCATGGCCAAAGGTCAACCAAAATTGTGAATTATATGGTCCCCAGCCCCCAGGGGCCTGAGGGGCGGGGCCAAAAACGGTCAAATTGACTAAAATTTCAAAAATCTTCTTCTCAAGATCCAAATATGGTAGAATTAAATACTCTTCATAGATGTAAGGGTCTTAAGGTGCTTTACCAAAATAGTGAATTTCATGACCCTGGGGTCTCACGTTTCCCCCTGGGGAGGGGGTAAACTTTACTATAGTTTATATAGGGAAATCACATTTTGGACAGCATTTGTTAGCTCACCTGGTCCGAAGGACCAAGGTGAGCTTATGCCATACTGTGGCGTCGTCTGTCCGTCGTCCGTCCGTCAACAATTTCTTTAAACGACTTCTGCTTCTTAACCACTGATTGGAATTTAACTAAATTTTACTGGAAGCATCCCTAGGTGGTGGGGATTCAAAATTGTACAAATGGTGGGGCTGACCCCCCAGGGGGCTGAGGGGCGGGGCAAAAAGGGGGCAATTTGGCTATATTGCTACAAACGACTTCTTCTGTAGAACTATGTACTGGATATCAATCATATTTAATCAAAAGCATTCATGGGAGGCAGGGATTCAAAACTGTACAAATTGTGGGGCTGACCCCCAAGGGGCTGAGGGGCGGGGCCAAAAAGGGTTATTTGGCTATATTGCTTTAAGCGATATCTTCTCTGGAACTAAGAGATGGATATCAACCATATTTGACTGGAAGCATCCTTAGGTGGTGGAGATTCATAATTGTACAAATGGTGGGGCTGACCCCCCAGGGGGCTGATGGCGGGGCCAAAACGGTGCAATTTGGCTATATTGCTATAAACGACCTCTTCTGTAGAACAATGCGATGGATATCGATCATATTTGGTCGAAAGCATTCATGGGAGGCAGGGATTCAAAATTGTACAAATAGTGGGGCTGACCCCCCGGGCTAAGGGGTGGGGCCAAAATAAGTGTATTACTTGGAAATGGTTGAGATCCCCCCACCATATAACCATATATACAATTGCTGAGTATAAAGAGGAGAATGCACATTTGCTTCCAGGATGGCCCTAGGGTCTGGCCCCACCCTTGGAGACAATGTCCCTGGGCTATAACTTTAAAACGGTTGAGATCCCCACCCCAAAACTATATATAGAAATGCTGGGCATAAAGAGACGAATGCAGTCATGATATAAGAATAGACCCTGGGGTCTGACCAAACCCCTAGGGACCTAGTTTCTTAGTCACAGCTTGGAAACAGTTGAGATCACCACCCTATAACCATATATACAATTGCTGAGTATAAAGAGATGAATGCACATATGCTTCCAGGATGGCCTTGGGGACTACCCCATGCTTGGATACTTAACCCCTGGGTCATAACTTCGAAATGGTTAAGATCCCCACCCCAAAACTATATATACAATTGTTGCATGGCATAAAGAGACGAATGCAGTCATGATATTAGAATTGACCCAAGGGTCTGCCCCACCCTTGCAGACTTAACCCCTGGGTCATAACTTTGAAAGTGTTGAGATCCCCACCCAAAACTATATATACAAATGCTGGGCAAAAAGAGGCAAATGCAGTCATGATATTAGCCAATTGATCCTGGGATCTAGCCAAAACCCTAGGGACCTAGTTTCTGAGTCACAGCTTGGAAACATGTGAGATCCCCATCCCATAAACATACGTAAAATTGCTGGGCATGAAAAATCTAATACAGATATGCTACAGGATTGGCCTTGGGGTTTGGCATATATTCCCTTGGATCTTATTTGTAGAATATTTTGCCATGATTGCTTAGATATCCAGGTGAGCGATGCAGGCCCTCTGGGCCTTTTGTTTAATTCCCATTGGAATTAATTCAAACTTGGTTAGCATTATCAGTATTGGATAGCAATTTGATGATATGCACAAATCTGCACTGACTGACCCCCAGAGACCTGAGGGGCGGGGCCAGAAAGGGTCAAATTGACTAAAATTTCAAAAATCTTCTTCTCAAGATCCAGATATCGGTAGAATTAAATACTCTTCATAGATGTAAGGGTCTTAAGGTGCTTTACAAAAATTGTGAATTTCATGACCCTGGAGTCTCACGTTTCCCCCTGGGGAGGGGGTAAACTTTACTATAGTTTAATTTTGAATTATATGGTCCCCAGGGGTCTGAGGGGCGGGGCCAAAAAGGGTAAAATTGACTAAAATTTCAAAAATCTTCTTCTCAAGATCCAGATATGGTAAAATCAAATACTTCATAGATGGAAGGGTCTTAAGGTGTTTTACCAAAATTCAGCTGAATGACAGAACCACTATTTGTACATAGTACATCTTTCACACTACTTTTGCATTACGTGTAGTTCAAGTTACCTTTGTTACAAAATGATTTCTTTTTCATTTGGCAACATAATAAGGTTACTATGACAGACATTTCGGGCATTAAATAGAGGTCACAAAACTTTCTCTTTCATTCCTGTGAGTGTATGATAGAACTGTTCAGTATAAAACTTGGGCATAAGAAATTTCTATCTTACACCCTATTTCTGAGTTACTAATTGATGTAGGAACGAACTCTGGAGATGTTAAGACACCACATTCAATAAATGGCATCCAGTGTGTCAGTCCATCTGTCAGCAGGTCACTTAGTCAGTCCGGGGAATCTCATAATTATATTCCATTACCTGATTGCCAAATTTTGTATGTAGGTACCAAGAATGGCAGAGTGTCACACAATGCGATCAGAACTTGTGGCCACTTCATACAGAGTGGGTACAGCCCTTTGTTCTATAAATTTCTAAAACAGTTTATGTCTAAAGGTGGGGTACTATGAGTTGCTCAAAATCTTTTATCTTGTATAGTTGTCTAGTGCATACAAACTCGTTGGGTCACTGTCAGCATAGGTGTCAAACCTCCCTCATTAGGAGGGAGTATAACTCCTTCATTTTGACAAAAGGACTTGGGGCATTTTGGATCATTTTTGGCCTCATTAAAAGTACAAATTTCAAGTACAATTTATTTACCAATTTCTGTTACATGTATGCATATCATATTGGTTAATTGGGGCTATCTTTCTTGGTGCATATTTTTTCCAATGCGCATGCGAAGATGCCCTACCATAGCAACCGTAATTGTGTTGCTAAGCTGAGAAATAGCCAAAATATGGTGTTTCTGCACAGTTAGCATGCAGAAATAAAAGCCTCCGCATGTGACAAATAAAACTTCCTTTCTACGAAAGAACACTGGTATGACAGTAGCGCACAACAGACAAAAATCATGCTTTTTATTACGAAAATGCAGGTTCATGTCTCTCTTTGTAGTAGTGCCATATATATCTCCTAAACCAGTTGTCGAATGAATTTGAAATTTCATACTTGATTTATTTCAGATTATGAATATAACAACTAAATATAATTCAAAATCCCTGATGAGGCTGGTAATGACCCTTAACGCCCCTTATAGTCCTTTACCAATCATTCTTGAAACTTCCTCATTCAAGTTGAAACTCATATATACTCTAAATCTACATCCTGAGGTCAAACGATCTCCTAGATACTGCAGGGTATGTGTAATGATCATAGCAGGTGTGTCTGAATCAAATGAACTCTTTTTGGACTTATTTTGATACTTAAAAGGGAAAGATAAATAAAGGAAATCAGTTTCATTTGCATTTCATGCATTTTCTCCCTCATTGGAGGTTTCAGAGGTTGACACCTATGTTTCAGATACCCCTGTTTTGTTAACAGAGAGCTGATGATAGGTGTATACAGTATATTACCTATGTGGCTCTCATGTTACATAACATGATTTTAATCCATTTTATCAGTTTTATAAATAACATGTTTATTTTCCAGATTTGTCCATTAAGGCTGATGGGAACAAAGCTGTTGATGAAGTTTGGACAACAAACAAAGTCCACATCCAGAAAACAGGGAGTGATGGCACATTCTCTTTTGACCTTGAAGATAATGTTCATTTCAAGCAGTTCTTGTTCAAACACAAAAAGAGAGATTTGCTGGATGCCCATGGCTGGAAATATTCAGAATGTGATGGAATACGGAAAGTTTTGATTTCAGCTGATAATACATTTGAAGTAGTTAAAACAATTGTTCAAAAATGGGTTGCAAAATATCAAACTTCTCTGAAGGAAAAGAAGTTAGAGTTATCATCCTCCAGTACCAAGGATTCCCTTCAAAGATCTCTTTCCTGTCTCATTCCAACTATTGAAAGGAGATATGGTGAGGCTGATGTTTTTTATGACAAGGCCAAAGACTGTTTATACATTGTGGGATTTCAACAAGTTGTGGATGAAGTTTTTCATAAAGTGAAAGCTGACATGAGAAATGATGACCTGCTGACAATGGAATGCCCCATTGAGTCTGAATCACATGGAATGATGCTTAGATCTCTCAATTTTCTTGAGAAGTTGAAGCAGGATTTTCCAGATGTGGAAGGTTATCTTCATGACTGTAACACAAAAGTCACATACATAGGAAAACGAGATGAAGTTGAAGAATGCAAAAGGAGGATTGCAATTTTTTTCAGTACTTTGCATACAGAACCACTTGAAATGACATCGCTTCAGAAAGAGCTTCTTTCAAAACCTGAGACAGGCAGATATATCAACATTTTGTTGAGGACAGACAACATATCCTGTGTATTAAATGTTCAGAAGCAGGGAAAACTTCTACTGATTGGTCAACAAAATGATTTTAAGAAAGCTCGTCACAAAATAAAGGAAAACATTGTAGAAAAGGTCTTCATTGTGCAGATGTATCCACGTGTAAAACAGATGTCATTCGGGGAAGTAGGTCTTAGTCAAACAGAAATGGAGAGAGTTGTCACAAAGAAAACAGATGACGAGGTTCGTGTGGCTGCTAACAGAGATGTTATGCAGCGTATTATACAATGGATACGCTTAAAAGATCCAGAACAAACTGGACTCGGGAGAAGTCAACAGCATTCTGTAGATGTACAGAAACACCAGCCGTCACAATCTTCAAAGACAGATGAGGTACATTTGGAAGTTTCTGAACTGGACATGTGTCTGTGGAATGCTTTGGGGATTGTTGATGAGTTTAAACAATGTACTGCTGGAAATGGTGAAATTCTGATAGAGGCATCAAAAAGTGATGTTCAAAAGATTTCTGAAAACATTAAACGAATGCTTTCCCAGATCAAGAAAAATAAAGAAGTCTGCCCTCTACATGAGGAATGTGCAGTTCTCCTTAAACATCAGGAAACCAAAGACTACATTGCAAAAGAACTGCAAAAGAAAAAACAAAGATGTTTCTGGAAGCTCAGAGCTGACGGTTTTACTATTGACATATATGCACAGAACAAGAACGAAGCAGTGAAAGCTAGGGAGAGTATTCCTGCAATGATATCAGTTATATCCTTAAGAGCAGAGTTCAACCAAGTGAAAAAGGTTTTGCAAGAAGAAGCCTGCAAAAATGTACTACAGAAGTATCATGGGAAAGCTAAAGTTTTATCCCTGACAAGCGATGAGGTACCATTAGTGGCAACAGCTGATGCTTCGGAGGAAATCCTAACAGTAATGAGACAATGTGATAAATGTATTAACACTGAAAAAACAGTCTGTATTGAAATGCCTGAAGGAGCCTGTGAATACCTGGAGAATCAGTCCACATTTACAATAAGTCTGAAAGAGAAGTATGGTGTGCATCTTGAACCATTAGAAAACAGAGCGAAGCTAAGACTTATTGGACCAGAGAAAAATCTTCCCATTGTGCAAACCACTTTGGAAAAATCAGTTGCTGACATAGTGAACAAAAGTCTGAGAATGAAGTGCCTTCCTGAGGTTCTTGAAGATGAAAACGAAAAAAAGAAATTTGAAATGGTTAACAGTTGTTACTTATCAAAGAAAAAAGAAAGGGTAATTGTGAAACCCTGTCCATCACATACTTGGGTGATCAAGAACTCTCCATACTTGATGTTGGTCTCGGAAAACATCGCAGAGACAAATGTGTATGCTGTGGTGTGCCCGGTAGACACTAATCTCAAACCCATAGGAGCTGGACAGACAATCATGAACTATGGTAAGAACATGTTTTCTTCAAGTGAAATTCAAACTAAATGAACAGATCAGGTAAAATAAAATAATATTTATTTAATAAGATAATGAGAAAGATGATTGAAAGAGTACACTAAGAGGAATGACCCTTTATAGTTGGAGAGTCATTGTTTCTGTGACAATACCAAATGACTTTATTGATAAACCTATCGTCAGTTTAAATAATATTGATATTTAGCTCACTTCTCCTTCAGGCAAAAATCAAACACTGCAACATGGTATAAGCTCACATCCCCTTCAGGCAAGTATTCCTATGCCATGATGCAGTGTTTGGTTTCAGTTTAGCTTATCAGTTCTGTCAGGCGTCAACATTTTTAGACCTAAGTAAGCTTATATATATAATTAAGTGTTTATGCTTCATCTATTGTCCATTTGTTTATGAACAAAAGACTCAAAGGCAGATTGAGATTATAAGCAAATAATAATTTATTACGAAAACATTTTACCTATATATATGGGCTAAGGGGATATAACAGCTGTGATACTACTAATAATACTTTCATGTATGTACCCGGCCAGCTGTATTATAGCTGTTGACTGGGCAATGTATGAAAGAAACATATATGTACCCCGGAATAAAATTCTTGGGGGATTACGAATTACAAAATGAGTAACTGCCCCTTCGAAACAAGTTTAAAGAATAGAATGTATAAAGGAACTTGCTGCAGAGCTGGCCACCATCTCTAACTTCCTTAATGGAAGGGGGAGGTGTGATTTTCCATGCTTGGAAACAGCTGGCAAGTGTTTACTCACATAATTATTATAAACAGCCATTATATCCCCAGGCATCACCTGAAATAGTCTTGTGGTTGGTTGGTTGGGGAGGGCGGTGGATCACGAAATAATCAGACACACAAATCTACTGCAAACAGGCTGCTGAAACTGACCCAAACAAAGACTGACTCACGTGACTGAACTGACCAATCACTGACTGTACTTGACCACCGTGTCACGTGGCTGAAACTGACCATAGCTGACCTAACTGCCTTTGCGCCTGCGTGTGAAATGGTAGACTTGTCTTAGTTCATAAACCACACTTATGTACATAAGTTTCAATTCATGAACAAAAGACTCAAAGGCAGATTGAGATTATAAGCAAATAATAATTTATTACGAAAACATTTTACCTATATATATGGGCTAAGGGGATATAACAGCTGTGATACTACTAATAATACTTTCATGTATGTACCCGGCCAGCTGTATTATAGCTGTTGACTGGGCAATGTATGAAAGAAACATATATGTACCCCGTAATAAAATTCTTGGGGGATTACGAATTACAAAATGAGTAACTGCCCAAATGAAGATGTACCACAGCTGAATACCCCCAAGAAGATAATATAAAACAAATTTATAAACGTTATTAACATCACTATCTTATTACAAGATAACTATATATATAAACATATGTACTACATAGCTAAGAATATATCTACAAACCACTTGACCAGATCAGGCGATGCAAAATTAGGCATTAACATAATAGCTACATGTCGGTGATTACAACAAATCGCATCCCCTCTTGTTCTTTCTTGCATTCATGTATTCATAGACATCATGTTGCACTGTCAATTTCTGTATACTCTCTTTCCGACTTTAGCTATTTCCCACACTTCTGCCGAACGATACACCTGCATATCCAATAACATATACTATACATGTACAAACACAATACGCTGCTTAGGCTTCCTATACTGCGGTTACCTGTTTACTTACGTTAGTCATATGCATGCTGCCGAGTGTTTGAGGAGAGTAACAGCGGTTACTCTCTGGAGGTAACTGCGGTTACCTGTTTACTTACGTTAGTCATATGCATGCTGCCAAGTGGTTGAGGAGAGTAACAGCGGTTACTCGCTGGAGGTAATTGCGGTTACCTGTTGCTTACGTTAGTCATATGCATGCTGCCAAGTGGTTGAGGAGAGTAACAGCAGTTACTCGCTGGAGGTAACTGCGGTTACCTGTACTAACTAATGATAATCACTGCTCAGTGTTATCGGAGTAACAGCGGTTACTCGCTAAAGGTAACTGCAGTTACCATTGCTGATACTGAAGGTAACAGCGGTTACCTGTTCTACTTACGTTTAACCTGCTGCTCATCTGTTTTGGAGTCACAGCGGTTACTCGCTGGAGATGACTGTGTTACCAGTGCTTCTTAGAATTACTAGAGGTAACTGCGGTTACCTTACTTACATTCAACATGCTGCTGAGTGGTTGTGGAGTAACAGCGGTTACTCGCTGGAGGTAACTGCGGCTATCAGTGCTAATACTGAAGGTAACAGCGGTTACCTGTACTACTTACATACATTCATCATGCTTCCCAGGGTTGTAGAGTAACAGCGGTTACTCGCATGAGGTAACTGTGGTTACCAGTGCTAATACTGAAGGTAACAGCGGTTACCTGTACTACTTATGTTACATGCTGCTTAGTGGGTTGTGGAGTAACAGCGGTTGCTCGCTAAAGGTAACCATGGTTACTAGTGCTTCAAAATAGGAGGTAACAGCGGTTACCTGTTAAGATGCGACCAGCTGCTGAGTGGTTGGAGTTACATCGGTTACTCCCTGAGATCTAAGGAACCTGGTACTCACTAATAGGACAATACCTACTGTATGTGGTCCTGTTAACTGCAGCCACTATTGATCATTTTTATACAAGCGGTAAACGCAGTTACCTTTGCTACTTATTAATTATAACTTGATGCTAATTTCACTGGGACTAAATGCAAAATTCTACACTGTATAAAGTTGATATGTACATGTATGTCACAAAAACAAAAAACAAAATTTAAATAAACAAACAAACGTAGTAGGTACATACATGTTACCCAATATATCTCACACATATGTATAACCAATTGAATTTGCAAGTCTTATTGAAGTCTAGCATTAGACAGAATTGTTTTCACTTGTTGTCAATGCCATCGCTATCTGAGCTTTTCTCAAAGTACTTTTTGGCGTTTTGATGTATCGACAGTAAGTGTCAGAGGACCATCTACCAAGTGTCTTTATTAAGTGATCCTGAACGTTACATGAAGCTGCTGATGTANGTGGTGTTGTGCTGCACATAACGTTAATCTCCTCATTAAAGGCATGTTGTTCAAAGCTTTAGATCTACCTTTATTCAAGATTTCCACTGTTCCTTCATTATCACACCAGAATAATACCTGTTTCCTTTCCCACAGATGACCCCAAAGTATACACGCTACTACAATTGGGTATAGTTCCTTGAACGCGATTGAAAGTTCACCATTGATGTCTTTTGATGTCAATGCATCTGGCCATGCTTCCGAGAACCACTTTCCCATNCCAAATATCATCACCCTGGGCATTTTGGTTATTCAGAAGAAGTTGTTTAATGTTTTTCAGATATTTGACCCCTGTGACCTTGAATATAGGTGAAGGTCATTCATTTGAACAAACTTGATAGCCCTTTACCCCAGCATGCTACTGGTCAAATATCATCACCCTGTGCATTTTGGTTATTCAGAAGAAGTTGTTTAATGTTTTTAACATATATGACCCCTGTGACCTTGAATATAGTTGAAGGTCATTAATCTTAACAAACTTTGTAGCCCTTCATTTCAGCATGCTACTGGCCAAATATCATCACCTTTGGCATTTTGGTTATTCAGAAGAAGTTGTTAAATGTTTTTAACACATTTGACCCCTGTGACCTTGAATATGGGTGAAGGTCATTCATTTGAACAAACTTTGTAGACCTTCATCTCAGCATGCTACTGGCCAAATATCATCACCCTGGGCATTT